GCCAGATTTTTAGTTTATTCTGGGACCGTCGAATACTATACAAAAGGTTTCTAAGAAAAAAACCCTTTCAGTCAGATTCTTTTATATACGCAAATTTCTTATGGTGATGACATTTTATTGTGCTGAAGTATTATAATCGATAGCGCAGAGCTTCGCCACAAATCCTCGGAGAAGCCGACGGGTTCCTGGGAGAAATATATCTGTTCTTATGTCCCAGCCAGCTGTAACTCACAACTGGTTAAGGTTGCCAGCGAGAAATTCAGGAAAAAAGAACTCTCATGGCAAGTAATACTTTATAAGAATTTTTGCCAGGAAAATAAATATTTGCTAACTAAAAAAATATAYAACGTTTTTGACCTTAAAAACGTTATATAAGCCTTTTTTGACCTTAAAAACGTCTTGCAGGAACAGTTATTTTAGAGAAGAAAGGGTTCCACATTTGGTTTTGAGATTGTCGACAATGTAGCTCAAAAACCCTTTCCCAGGAAAAAATTCGTTACAAGAACAATTGGCTCCTCCTACAAATCTCAACGCACGAGATTTCACCAAAAGCTTGTTTGMAGTTACCTTTAAAAAYCAAACATTATACCAAGGGTATAACGGAAAAATCTAAGTAATGGAGAGGAAATTCGTCCAATGATATGTCTATAGTAAATAAAGTTTGACTCTGTTTTGTTGTGTCATTGGGCTCTCTGACTCACTGATGTTCGTTTCTTCTCGACGTTCCGACGCTATTTGGGTCGTCATCTTCAGGATCTTGATTGAATCTTTTTGACGAGTGGCTTCCAAAAGTCAATGTCCGCATGAATATTAAATAGGATCTTTTTGCTGTTTTGAGCTTTCACGCTCTCCAGGGACTCCAGGTAATTTCTTTTGTCGGTGTTGGTCTCCTGGTTTATTATCTTGCACTTGTCCCATTGTATGTTATGTGGGCATATCTGATCATGTTTTGCAAGTCCTCCATCTCCGGTGTTCATTCTCCTTTCAGCTTGTTCGATTCTATCTTCATCGATGTCTTTTCTTGTTAGTCTAACCTTGCTTTCATGTTCTTTCCTCCTTGATTCCCATTTTCTTCCAGTCTCTCCTATGTATTCGTATTTTTCAGCCCAATGAGACAACAAAACAGTAATTACACTAAACTCACCAAAAAGGGTTTCAGATCTACAATTAAAGTTTGACTCATTATGCTTATGTATCATATCATAGATTCGAATTGGAGGGACAAAGAATATAGTGCATTCAAGCAATAAGGGATTCGCTGGACGATTGTCGTGCTTTCAAATCTATGACACGGCATTGACAGAAGAACAAATAAAGAAGATCCAGCAATACTGTGATAGAAATGGTAAAGTATGATTAACCCTATTCAGACAGGGGTAGGGGATTGCGTGCCTTCCTACGGGCAAAATGCTAATAGCTTTTGAACCAAGARWGCCTCAGCGCTAAAATTTTGGACTTTTCCTAATATTATCTTTGCGCACTTTGGTTGGTGTCAATGTCATGTCGTTGTCCAAGGCAACCAGGTTTGATCACAACCATWTTCTTAAAAGTAAATATTTATTGAATTTACATTTTTAAGGCCTATGTCTATATAGTCGAGCTTGCCCCTTTTGTTGACTCGACAAATTCATAGTGATATTTTGACTCCAAAAATGTAAGGGGAGGCGTTGTTACATTTTGTTCATTTGCGAAACTTCTATTATTTAAACCATACAACATGTATTCCATACATGTTGTCCCCTATTCCCTTCAATCTTAATTTGGCAGATCCAAAGATGGCGGATATTCTTATCAATGAATTGATCTTATTAACTTACATTATTACTTTCTACCCCATCAACATATCTGTCTTGCATATCAGATATCTTCAAACCTTGTTTTGATTATAAATTGCTTGATATCAACAACCGACTTCTGAACCAAACATTTACTCAAGGGACTAAAACTGACAAAGCCAAAGTCAGTCGCATTCACTGGCATCGCTTAGCGGGAAAAAGAATCATTTCGTACTGTCCAAACTCTCATGGTTCTTGTGGAAAACAGCCTCCAGGATGGATTAACGGTCAATATCCAAGGCTGGAAGATGGGATCAAAACAATGGAATTGTGCTATCGTAAAGACTCTGATTGTTGTGCCTTCAAAGTCAGTGTGCTTGTGAGGCAGTGTTATGGATATTACGTGTTCAAGTTTGATGACTTTCCGGTTGAAGGCCGATTTTGCGTCGAACAAGGTTAGTTTTGTATGGCAGTGTAGTTTTAAAGTGGACATGCCTGGTTATCACTAGAAAGGTTACTAGGTTCTGTACGTTTTCTCTCTCTTCGCGAACGAATACAGTATGTAACTTTGGGAACTGCTCGGGACATCAAACACAATACAGATGTCCACACCCCGGGATCTAAAACGTATATTTATTTACAATGTTCTATCTAGAATCCTAGTGTACTGTATTTGCAATGCAATGCAAAATTTTTCTTTTCAGCATGACAGATTTGAAAATAATCCCCTTTTTCTTGCTCATTTAGATAAAAGCACCTTTCATAATGCCATGTTTTTGTCCACCAATGAAAGATGCCTAACCGATCACGCGTTTTATATGGGTAATGATGTGAATGAGGCATCCAAATGCGTAAGCTATTGCCTGAATGCCGGCAGCAGATGCAAGTCTGTTAACTATATCAAGGAAGGCAGTGGAAGATGCCAGCTTAACAACGCTACGAAAGCTGAGGGTCATCTTCGAGAAGATCCCAAGTGTTCTTATTATGAAAAGTACTCGAGCAACGAATTCTCAGAGTATCTTTTAAAACCACAATTCTAGCACAATAGTTCTCGGATGCAACCTGCCCATGCAAGTCGTCTCTTTACACATTAACTGTGAATTAACTGTGTTTCTCGTTTGGCTGCTTTATCAGCTATTGCAAGTTTCATTGCCTCTTCAAATGTTGGATTGTCCTGACTTAAGAGTTTCTTTTGTGTGTGTGTGTGGTCGTCTCGAATGCCACTAATAAACTGATATCGGAGGGAACGGGTTAATATTGTTCCAAAATTGCAGTTAGTTGCTAAACGCCTAAGTCGAGTACTGTATTTAGCAATACTTTCTTGCTCTCCTTGCACACACAAATGAAATTTATAAGTTCCTGCTACCTCCAAATTCTTTGGCTTAAAATGCGCCTTTAAACATTAGCAGAAATATCGCCTAAAATGACGTCGGGCATGCATAATAAGTAAAATAATGGCGGATAAATTTCCTAAAGAAATATATGGGAGATAACACATTTTCGCCAAAATATCATTTTAAGAGAATCGCACTTCGATCACTCTTCGTGGCCATATCTAGGAATCTGTGCAAGCTAATCTGGAGAAAGCAAGAAGTGAAAAGTCGATGAAGTGGAAGAGTGGAGAGAAAAGTAGATCTAACAGCTGAGAAGGATAGCTCTCTAGCCATTTTGTTTTTGCAATGGTAGCTACCGCTGCAAAATTATCGCGGGCGCAAAATAGGCAATATTTCTGCTAATGGTTGACATATTTCGGTGAATGACTTGTCTTTAGGAGCAGCAGGAGAGCACAAGTCCCTTAAGGTGCTGTAAGTTTTACTTCCTATGACAGAAATTACAACGGCAACTTACTTTTTATCTGCAGCTGCCTTGACTTCGGCTGAAGCATCACAGGGGGCCCAGGCTCAACAGTTGTGTTGCTTTCACGGCGGTGTCAAAGTATTAATCGCGTGGTTCGCGGTTCGAGCCCTCATGAAGCCGTAAATTTGTTCTACTTCATTTCTTGAGACGACGAAGGCATAGCTATTCTCTGAAAGCAATTGTTCGTTGTGCCGTAAATCATAAANAAGGAATACAACACTGTCTGAACTTGTTGCTAAAAACTGTTCAATTCAACAAAAGTTTAGATATGACAACATGTGATTCAATCAAAGATTTAATACAATGGAATCTATTTACATAAGTTTGAAATTCCGCGAGCGAGCGCGTATTTTCGAGTTGCTCGAATGTACATTATTTTGCTCAAATAACTCTAAATTTTAGGTTAAGATTTAATTGAAACTTCGTCAGTATATTAATTATGTTATTAAGAAATGATTCTGAAAAYTTTATTACAATCTCTGCGATGAGTTTCGAGAAAATTAACTTTGAAGAAAAATGAAGGTGTTTTTATTTTGCACCGTTTATCCAAATGGCTCCGCTTTTCGGCAAATTAATTTATCAACAAGAATTATCGATAATCACTGTTACTTCTGTGGAAATTTGAGTGCAATGGAATCGAAATTTGCGACGTAGTTGGAGTTTAAAAATATGCGCGACGATCGAAACACCTTCAACATCATATCGATTTTTTATGCCAAGAAGTCAACTTTTCCTACATTATATTTCGAGGCATGGCTACACTCTTTTCTTCAATTTACAGAGATTTTATAACGAGAAAAGACAAAWATGCAAGAAAACCTGGCGATTTTGAGTTTTTAGGTTTTTGATTTGCGCTATGACGTCATAAATGGCGGACGAGATTATAACAACATTTTAGTAAGGCTGTCCACAAGTTGCTCGGCAACTTTTGGGCAACTTTTTGAATTTCGAGCAACTTTTTCACTTTCGAGCAACTTAGAGCAACTTTTGATCTTTTTAGYATTTTTTGTTCTTTTTCTGACTTTTTCAGGGTTTAAACCACGTAATCTATTAAAAAAGAGTAAACTTTGTATTTTCAATACTGATTTTTTTAAATGTACTTGATCAAACAATTGTTGTCTTTAGAGTGGGCTCCCTGTGTAAAATAAGGTTGAGCTAGCATGGGACTGGTTTCATTTGTAAACAAAATGGCGGACGGAGTTGAACGCTCCAGTGATTCAGATTCATTCAGATTCAGGACAATTGAGCCCTTTTTCGATTAAACCGTCTAATTGATTAAAAAAAAAACTTTATGTTTAGCAACTTTTGGGCAATTTTTTGATTTTTTTAGCAACTTTTGGGCAACTTTTTGGATTTTTTAGGGCAACTTTTTGAACTTTTTGGAGCAACTTGTGGACAGCCCTACATTTTAGACCTTGAATGTTATTTCATTTCAACATTCTTAGAGACTTTTCTTATCATTTCACTTACGAGTACGAGTAGCACTTTAATTCAATCCTCTCATCACAACGTTTGAGAGGACGAGATAACGTTTACAATGACATTTTTAGTGTTGGTGTAAAATGGTACATTAACTACTCGATGGACACCTGCAACGAATCGATTTTCCATACAAATTGAAAAATAACCAAGAAAAATTGTGAATTTAGAATTATATTTTCCTKCAAAAACATGCAATTTTTCGTTGCTCGATATTTTGGCACATAAAAAAACATAATTTCCCACACGTCATAGCTTTCAAAGTTGGAAATCATCATGACAGAAGAGTAACTAAACAATTTACAGACGCTTTATAACAATTACTACGCTTTATAATCTTGTAACCTTCGTAATTTATTCACACCAAGAGAAAATGAGGTAAGAGAAGGAATACCTGGTACTGCGTTCTTAACCCAYCATATCAGCCYTTCGTTCTATTTTTAGAAAAAGAGCTATTTTTAGAAATGGAACACGATTGGCGGTCAGATCGTCAGACCCTTTCGTGTTGAATCTGCAAATGTAAATTATGCGTTTTATAAATTGTCTATTCCAGGTTAAATATTACTGCTCGAGAGGTCAGAGAATTCAAAGGTCAGATTGTCGATCTAATTTCATGTCACATTACCTTCAAAAGCTGATTCTTCTTCGACACTTTCAAGTTTTCTTTGTTTTGAAGAAGATTCCTTTTCTTCTTCAAGAAGTTTCCTTTTTAAAAGCGAATTTCGTAGCTTTAATTTTCTCGAACAGTATTTGACATTCAGTTTTTGGCGATGAAAAATAGCCGATATCAAATTCCGATAAACGAGTATTGGTCGCGCASGATTGGTAACAAACTAAAAATAGCTCTTTTTCTAAAAATAGAACGAAGGGCTGATATGATGGGTACCAGGGATTCCTTCTCTTACCTCATTTTCTCTTGATTTGCGCTATGACGTCATAAATGGCGTACGAGATTCTAACAACATTTTAGACCTTTAATGTTATTTCATTTCAACATTTTTAGAGACTTTTCTTATCTTTTCACTTACGAGTATGAGTAGCACTTTAATTAAATCCTTTCATCACAACGTTTGAGAGGCGACGAGATAACGTTTATAATGACATTTTTAGTGTTGCTTCCTCTAGTGTAAAATGGTACTTTAACTACTCGATGGACACCTGCAACGAATCGATTTTCCATACAAATTGAAAAAATAACCAAGAAAAATTGTGTTTATTTTCGAAAAAGCAGAAAACGTCCTTTTGAAATAGTACGTCGGGTTTTTTTTTTTTCTTTGATCGCTACTAGGCTATTTTGATGCTCAACTCCAACTCTTCAAAGGCGAAAATACATACTTGGACTAATACACAGAAAGGTCACATATATAYTKTATTTCTTAAATTCGATGGTGGATTTTTAGGATTGTCTTTAATATCATTGCATTTCTTCAAAAATTTTTGAAATCCGGTCTCTCTCCCGAATTTGACACTTCATACGGACTGTCAGGTTACCGCTTAAGTGACTTTTTGTCACCCTCAAGGGACGGTCCATTTAACTTTTGAGGGGGGGGAGGGGGTGGATGATTTCTTGTGAGCAAGATTTTTTTTTTCTTCGTGGCTTTTGGGTAGGATATACTTTTTTTCTCTTGGTGGAGTGTAGGAATTTTTTTTTTCTTGTATGTAACATTTTTTTTTGACTTTTTTTGGACACGATTTTTTTTTCTGGTTAAGATGGCTTGCAGGTTTTTTTTTTCAAAATCTCCCCCCCCCCCCCACCTCTCAATAGTTTAATGGTTCGTCCCTAAGTTTGATATGATGATACATGAGCATAGCGATTGGGTTCACCGCAAAGTTGAGACACTTACATCCTCCGGTCAGCGCGCGAGAATTTATGAAAGTGCGATAATACATTTGCCAGTTTACCTTAATCGTGTCAATAATTTTCGATATTTTGCGTGTAAAATTCTAATTCCTGTTCTCCAGAAAGAAGTGAAAAAATAATAATGCTAATAAAGAAAATAAATAGCCATTTTACACTTTGGCCACTTTGGAATCCGTCGGCGTTTCCTTTTATTTTGAGATACTGTCATTCACCAAGTTTATAGACTATAGATCAAGCTTATGAAGAGAGAATTAACGTAGATAGAATTAATATTTCATCCCAGACAATGTTGATTTTATCAATCTGAACTCATCGTAAAAAAAAGACACAAAAAATATCGTAAGTGTTGATCTCTCGGTCACTAGATTACGCCGGAAGGACAGACTGATTTCAATTGGCTTTTTCCAAACAATAAAAAAGCTGGAAAATCATGATAAATTCTTAGTTTGGATGCAGGAGGYTTGTACTGAGAAATCACAATTTATTTTTAGCCTTTGGTGATTTTAGAAATAGTTCTTCTATCAGTATTATGGACATTAAAAGCCGTGTTCTATGTAAAACCTAGTTTTCAATATTGTCCCTGTGGGAAAACTTGAAAAATTCTGCATTTATGTTTCCATATGTTTAATTGATTGTTTCTCTAACTTGTAGTGGTCGCAAAATATCTAAAATTTCAGAACACCTGCACAAAATGGATACATTTTCCTTTTAAATGTTACAACCTTGATAAATGAAGGTAGAAAATTCTGTATGAAAAACTAAGAAGAAAAGGTCAGTTTTTCACACATAATATATTCACAAGTTATTTCTGACTAATTGCTCAAAATCTACTGAAAATATTATACACTTAATGACTGTTCACAAGGGAAACGGTTAGTTTTGTTTCCCGAAAATCTCAATGTTTCCCGAGGTACGCCGAAGGAAACATTGAAATTCGAGGGAAACAAAAACTAACCGTTTTTGTTAGTGCTTTGTTAGTGCTTTGTTAATTATATTGGTAAATTATGTGAATAAAAAAAATCAAACACATTGCAAGATGCTCAATAATCATGCATGAATAATACTTTATTGTAAATATAATATTTGACCGTCGCGACAAACTAGCAATCAAGCGTTTAAATTACATTGTGCTTGAAAATAAAACTAATATAAATATAAAAATGCCAGAAAACTAGCAAAACGTTATGAATGACACAGTCAATGAGTTCCTGAATAGAAATTTAACSTGACATTTGYCGAAATTCACCGTTTCTAGCTCTCTTGGTTTTCTGCAGAATTCTAGTCGTAGCCAAAGCAGTCTTTGTAGCTTGGTTAGTGTTTTCCAAGTCTTTGTTGATAACCATTTCGTCTATTTCTTGACTAAGATTTGAAAATCTGTTTTGATGCCGGCTCCATTTTGTAAACAGTCGAAAGCAGCAAAAAACAATTCCCGCCTTTACAAACTTTTACTCGACGCGAGGCGGCCTTTTCCTGCCAATGGCCAAGCGGTCAACAATCGTCAAACTGTTGACCGATCAGTCAACAGTTGATTTTAGCTCCGGACACGTGACACCGAATCGTCCAATAAGAGAGCGAGAAAACAGTGAAAATAATTTACCAATATAACAATTAATATTGTTCTTCCATCCAATGGAAATCCCCCTTTACAGTCTTTACAGAGTTGTTCACAATGCTTCTACCGATGCTATTTTTACTGAATCAAAAGGTYTAATSTATATGATTAACAAGAGAGTTTTATGTTAACATCGTCGTCCGTAATGTAAAGAACATGTCTAATCTTACAAGAACCAGTTACTCTGGTTGTCTGATTTCAGACAAATCRCTAGAGYATTATGCCATCATCGGCTACTTGCCCGATTCTGTCCGTCACACCTGGATCATCCTTTCGGTCGTCAACAGCATTGCTTCTCCTCTGACCATCGTGATTAACCTGTTAATTATTTGGACGGTGGTAAAGGACAGATATATGAGAAAAGTCAACTACAACATCTTGCTTGCTTCTCTGGCAGTGACTGATTTGATTGTAGGTCTTGTGGTTGAGCCGATGTTTGCTTTGCGGCTGTTTTGTCTTCCCCAAGGATGTTCAATACCGTGTATTTTCACCGCTTTTTTCATAACATCGACCATGTGCGCTGGTGCTACGCTGATAATATTCATGGTGTCAAGCGTTGAGAGGTACCTGGCCATACAACACACTCAGTTCTACCTGGAAAACGTCACAACCAAGAGAATCATTCTCACTACGGCCTTAGCATGTTTGATCGGTATTATAGCAACCCTGTCAGCTAWAATACTTCAGGACGGCTACGGCCGATTTATGAATATTCCAATCGCAGTGGCTGTGGGTTTGAATGTTCTCATCATTTTATTTTGCTCAATCAAAGTACAAGTCACCGCCTACCGTCAAAGAAGAGCCATCAACGCACAAGCAACGACAGTACAGCTGCAACAGGAAGAACAAGAAGAGCAGGAAAGGCGACTYCAGGAATACAAGCGAGCATTTACCATGGGTTCATTGTTAATTGCATCGATTATTTTCTACTGCCCATACATCATCAACACCATCCTACTAGCCAACAATGGTAGAGACAGGTCCAGCCTTATCTCAACTCCTGGATTTACCGTGACGTTCATTCATCTACAGTCCCTGTTGAACCCGATCATCGTATCGCTTCGATTRTCTTACATTCGTGAAGTTGTGAAGAAAAAAATATGTTGTCGTGAGTAACCTTTCTTTATTGACAGTTGTTGTAGACTAGACTCTTTTGATGAACACACTTACAGATGAAGACATACTATCGTGAATAAACTACTCTGCTGTCAGTTGTGATAAAACTAGCTGATTATTCTTAGACTTTCTTGAAAAACTACAAATTTAGGGAATGCGCAATATTTAGCAGGAGTGGGGTTGAGAATCCAGAATCCATCTAATTGTATGTGTTTAAAAAGGAGGGGCAAMGTCTAAAATTAACTAGAACTTTAATTGGAAACTCAAAAATCAACTGTGTCAGATTCGAAAACGTCTCAAAGAAAAGCGTGCCACTGTTTGTTTTGTGACAACTCTTTATTCACGAATAATATATAAATCAATTGCCCGCAGAGCGTAACACTGGAAAATCTCTTTTACATACTATTTAAATATTTTGGAAATTGTATTTTACAAACAATTTTTTCACATTTAGAAAAATTCTACATTGAGTGCGAGGAATAATTTACAAATGAATTACAAAGTGTTTTGAAATTTACATAGTATGTAAAAGTACGTTGGTCCTGTAAAATCAATTTTACAGTCTGTTTACAAACAATTTACACATGAGTTATATAGTACGTAAAAGTTTGAGGTTTTCCAGTGTAATTTATTTTGTTTGCGAGGCGGGGGTAGTAGGTTATCCCTTAGGTTGGTTCCTTTATGATCATTCATGTAAGTTAATCAGTATGCCGTCGATGGCCTTTGGATAAAGCCCGAAATATCCAATATTATTATATGGCTTAGATAGTACGCGCGCTCTGATTGGCTGTTGACAGATAATGACCGGTCGGAATTTTCCTGTAATGCCCGCTCAYAGCGGTCATGATTTTTCGCGATTAGCCGACCAGCTTTGACTGTGAGTAAAAAAAGTACAAGCAAATTGAAACACATTGCAAAACAAAGACATCTTTTTAGAATACATTAACAAAACAAAAACATTATAAATCGTTTCTGTACATTTCTGCAATATGAGCGACGAGGAGAACTACAGTGAGGGTGAAATTTATCATCCTGACGAAGCCGAAAAAATGGCTGACTACCAAAACGACGAGACAAGCAACAGCCAAGAAGAGTTAAAAAGATTTGTACAAGAACAAAAGAGCGAAAACACAGTTAGAAAGACATACAGCGATATGAGATGCTTTTACCGATACCTCGAAGTTATCAACAAGAAAGATATCCAACTTTTAAACTTACCACCAAACGAGCTCGATCACCTCCTTGGGAAGTTMTTCAAGGACGTAAAGAAAATAAATGGCGAAGAGTACGAGCCGAGTAGTTTGACAGGGCTACAGAGAAGCATCCAGAGGTATTTGTCAGATAATGGGTCTAAGATGAACATCCTTAAGGACGACGAATTTTCCTTCTCTAGAAAAGTGTTGGAAGCCAAACGAAAAAAACTGTACAAGGCAAAGGAAATCGTCCCAATGCAACTCGCTCGCGGACAAGTGAAGAAGAAAACAAGCTTTACGACAGTGGAGCATTTGGCATAGAAAACCCAGTATCCCTTCAGAGGACCATGTGGTGACTGTTATCGTTACATTTTGGCTTTAGAGCCTGTGATGAAAGCCGAAAGTTGTGCCGGGGAGATGTTTCTCTACAAACAGATCCAAGTCAAGATGGCCRCGAAATGCTTGTATGGCTCAATGAGCGTGGAACAAAGACCCGAAAAGGCGACGAAAATGGTCACAGGCGTCCTTTCTCTCCGAAAGCTTATGCCACGAATACAAACAAATGCCCAGTAATGTATTACAAGTTATTTGAATAACACAGACCCGAGCAAATGAAACGYCCAGAGTCTCCATTCTTTCTTGCTGTACGCCACGGTGTACGCAAAGTCAATCCTGAGATCTGGTACAAGAAGTCCCCTTTGGGAAAAAATGAAATCGGCAAGTTTATGAAAACTGCTGCAAGCGAAGCCGAACTTCAGAGAGATAGCTCTAAAGTCTCAAATCACAGTGTGAGGAAAACCAGCATCAGTCGTCTACTGGATGCAAATATTCCAGAGAATTTTGTGGCTCAACTAAGTGKACACAAAAACCTTCAAAAGTCTGCAGTCCTACAAGTCTGCAAGCGAAACACTCCAACGCCAAATGTCGTACATCTTAAGTGGCGGAATTGATGAAAACCGTCAGTTCACACAAGCCGCTAGTAGTATGTACGAGTTTT